GAGCAGCATGTTGATGAAGAAAGGGGGGGGCGGGGAGGAAGCGGGGAGGGCAAAATATAAGCAGATTTAACTTCAGCTATAAAGATTCCAACAAGATTACATAGTAGAGACAATACCAACCGCTTCTATGTCCAAGTGTTTCGGCTTCCTAACGGGATTATCTGAGTAAAAAAAAAAAAAGTTAAATATTGTTCCAGCATCAAAGAGTCACATGATATTATTGTGGGAGTGTCTATACTAATAGGGAGCATCATTATGGCAGATATCAAAAAGTGGGAGGCATGTCCCTTTAAGAAAACCAATAATGCTATACAAAACAGTTTTCACATTCAATACCCAATAAGTGGAATTTTGTGAGCACAAATATCCTCAAACCGTGTATATAAAGAAACTGCAGGAATGTAAAAAATGAACCCCGCGCTGCAAGGGTTAACTGCTCATTCTGGTCTAGGGGCTCAAAGCTAGGGGGCGAGTCATTACACGCTGCCCGGCTTCTTGATTGGCCGGGAAGCCGGCTTTATGCTTCCTCGTCACCAAGTGATGAAGGAGCATGGAGCCGACTTTCCGGCCAATCAGGAAGCCGGGCAGCGTGTAATGACGCGCTGCCCAGCTTCCTGATACTGGAAGTTTGGGTATCAGGCTACGCATCGGAGCATTTAGGCGAATACAAGTACTCGCCCAAATACTCAGTGTCGGCACCCGTACTACCATGTTTCCCTGAAAATAAGACACTGGGGTTGATTTACTAACCTTATAAACACACCACGAACATGTATACACCTCTGTAGTGTGTTCCCTCCCAGCATGATCTATGGGTGGAATCTAAACACCTTTGTAGTGTGTACACACCCAGCAGGTGTGTTGTGCAAAGCCCAGCATGACTTGCAAGGTGATGTTGTGTAAATTAGCTCTACGTTGTGTTGCTTGCGTTGATGAATGCAGGAATGTAAATGCATGAGCTAACCATTTTTGTCTAAACTGTGAAGCAGCATTATATATGCATCATGTGCATGATTTTTCCATATATTGCATTAGTGGAAATATGCTTTTAGAGACTTTTTGGTTGATAAATACGTTTTGCTGTGTGAAAATCACACGCACCTGGTGCGTGCGTGTGTTTAGGTTAGTAAATCACCCCCACTGTCTTATATATTTTTTTTCCCAAAAAAAACACACTAGGTCTTATTTTCAGGGGATGTCTTATTTTAAATACTGTCACACACACAGGGTCACAACACCTGCAGGCTGCAGCTGTCCTGAAACTCTCCTCTCTGAATGCCGTCCACAGTTCTCTGTGGGATCCCTGCCAGGGAGCCACCTCTATCGTCGCCAGGCTGGACTGCATGGACCTCCAGTCAGAAGTTCCCACAGTGACTGAGGCTGTCACCTCACCCCGACCCCACTGGCTATACGTTGCTTGCCGTGCTGTGCCGCTGCCTGCTGGGAAATTTAGTTTTCTGCCCGGCGGCAGCTCTCTAAGCAAAGGCAGACAGGTGTCTGATTTCGTGACACGGGCGGCATGCGGGAGCTGCGGCACAGCGGTTAGTCCCCGCCATGACTCTCTGGCCCGCCCCTACCCCCAAACTAGGTCTCATTTTTGGGGTAGGTCTTATATACCCTAGGCTCAGTATATAGTTAGCTGTAGCTCGCGGTATACTGAGACGCCGCAGCTGAAGCGGATTCCGACAATTATGCCGTGATCCGCCCAGCTCCGTGACTGACAGCTGGCTCTGCCTATATAAAGGCAGAGCCAGCTGTACCCGCCCCCTCCTCCGTCAGTTCCGCCAATCAGCGCTGGCGGATCGGAGCGGGGAGGGGGTAATCCAGCCCCTCCCCTGTTACGGCAGAGAGCCGTGACAGGATCGAGAGGTGATCGAACGCCGGTATGTGTTCACTCACCTCCCGATCTACTGAGCCGACCTCTCATTGTCACAGGTCGGCTAGAACTATGAGGTGAGTGAAAAGCACCCCCCCCCCTCATAGTTCTCCTTTAAAAATAGTGCTAGGTCTTATGTTCGGGGGAAACACGGTATCCCTAATGTAAACCTTTCCATGACCCATACTACTAGATTTTAAACCTGTATAAGAGGATTGAAGTTTCATTTTGATATATTTGGTTTTCTTTGGCATTTTAAATACTTTTGTCAAATTTAATAAGAAAATTACATGAAGTCTCGCGTCTCCCCGCATAAATAGGGGGGAGTGGTGCTGGCGATACGGCTGCTGGTTTTATCACGCGGTCTCCGCCGCCTTCCATGAGGGCATCCGCAAGGCTGTGCTGTCCGGTTTCCTGTAAGCAAAGCAGAAACAGCGGAAACGCCTGGCTCCCCCGAGTCTCTAATTCGACCAGTAATTGGCGAGCTTGATCTCTGCGTGTCCCGGCTCTCTAAAGAGAAAAAAAAGTGTTACTTCCTCTGCAAGTATCTGAAAAAAGAGTAACAGTTCATCTTCAATGTTAGAGTCTTGTGTCAGATAAGTATAGAATACTGGCTCCAGCATGCATACTGTCCCTGGATTTCACAGATTGGCGTCTGTACCCCCATGTTAGCATCTCCTAGAAAGACCCTGTCATTCCTGTAAGTGTATAAATCAGACTGTGTGGCTGCTGATTGCATGCAGAACAGTGTCAGTGTGTGGAAACTATTGCATCTGCCAGACGGGGATCCGTACGTGTGTGTAAGGTTGCCTAGCAAACCAGTCAGCTGACAAACTGCAGGTGGTAGCAAGCTACCCTAATGATGATGAGGCAGAAAATGTGTATTGTACAGTTAGTTAGTGCTGAAAGGGACATGTATGGACCGCCTGGGCTGACATTAGAAACCAGGGACACTTCCTCGGACAGATTTGTCTGTCCTTGGACACCAGGGACACGTTTATGGTCAGCTTGGTCTATTACGGAACACTCCTAGGGGCAGAGTTGTAGGTCCTTGGAAACCAAGAACCTTCTGGGGCAGCTTTGTCTGTCCTTGGACAATAGAGTCACTTCTATGGGCACCCTGGTCTGTCACTGAACACTTCTAGGGGCAGCATTGTCAGCCCTTCTAGGGCAGCTTTGTCTGTCCTTGGACACAGGGGACACTTCCAGGGGCAGATTTGTCTGTCCTCGGACACCAGGGACACTTCCAGGGGCAGCTTTGTCTGTTCTCGGACACCAGGGACATTTCTAGGGGCAACCTGGTCTGTCCTAGGATGCCAGGGACACATCTAGAGGCAGATTTGCCTGTCCTTGGACATCAGGGACACTTCCAGGGGCAGCGTTGGCTTTCCTCAGACACCAAGGACACTTCCAGGGGCAGATTTGTCTGTCCTCGGACACCAGGGACACTTTCAGGGGCAGCTTTGTCTGTCCTCGGACACTTCTAGGGGCCACCTGGCCTGTCCTTGGATGCCAGGGACACATCTAGAGGCAGATTTGCCTGTTCTTGGACACCAGGGACACTTCCAGGGGCAGCTTTGTCTGTCCTCGGACACCAGGGGCACTTCTAGGCGCAATCTGGCCTGTCCTTGGATGCCAGGGACACTTCTAGCGGCGGCTTTGTCTCTCCTTAGCAACAGGGACACTTGCAGGGCAGATTTTTTTTGTCCTTGGATACCCGGAACACTTCTAGGGGCAGATTTGTCTATGCTTGGCCACCAAAGACACCTCTAAGGGCAGCTTTGTCTGCACTTAGAGACCAGTGACACTTCTATGGACAGCCTGGTCGGTCCTTGTAAACCAGTGACGTTGAACTATGTATGACAATACCCTCTCACTCCTCACCTGGATCTCCTCTATCATGTCATTAGTGAACACCCCTCTCTTCACCAGAGGGTCCCAGATGTCCCCCATCTGCAGTGAGGTGACCAGTAGCATCCTGTTACTCCGCAGCGCTTGTCTATCCCTGTCCTCCATCTTCCCTTCTCTCACTTCCGTAAACAAGTGACGTCATCTAACACGCCGCCCGGCTTGCGGTCATGTGACGCGTGTCGGGCACCACGTGGTCACAGCCCATGTCCAAATATGGTCATTCCCATTGAAGTGAATAGAGAAGGGCCAGTCTAAGCAGATGTTCCCAGGCTGCCCCAATAATAAACATTTTAGGATGGTTGGCTGTGCAAAATGCCCCCTGAAACCCTTTAATACCAGAGCTGAGGCTACCAATGTAGATACCTGGGAACTTTTTAAAAACTGTAATTCCAGCGAATGGGGGTAGAGTAGGGGGCAGGGATAATCATACCTGAGCACACTGGGTGTGGCCAAATAGCTTTTAAAGTGGGAGGGGCTTAAAGGATAAGTCCAGCTTCTATGGTCAAATACAAATCATTATAAAATATGCCACAGTACTATTTTATAGGCCACAACAGACCTTCCCTTCTAAGGAGAAGTGCTGTAGAGATTAACAAGAAGCTGGTTATGGGTTGCCATGTCAGGTTGTTCAATATTGTACACAAGACAAAGAATGTTTTCTGTTGCTTGGTAACCAGGGCATAGGACAAAAAGTTGTGTGGAGGCGGATCCCAGACTGTCTTGGTCTGGATAGTTATGACTTCAGGACTTGAAAGTATGACCTTTTTTGACTCTACCCTGACACATGAAACAGTCTAAAGAGGGCATTTTGGGGTAGCAGCATTAGATCAGCAGATATTTAAGGTCCAGCACCCAAGTACGTTAATTAGTCATTAAAATGACCCAACACATTTGGAGGGTTACAATTAGGGTTGCCACCTTTTCTTCAAGTGAAACCCGAACACTCGAGCACCACAATTTTTTTTGAGAACATAGAGGAGAGATTGAGTAAGGAGACAGTCTATAGAGGACTACAAATCCCAGCAATACCTTATATAGCAATACAAATTAATATGAAGCTACATACACTGTGCTGTTCTCGGTTGGTGCCCTGATGCCTCCAGGTGGGCTGTGCGACACTCACATGGGCTGTGCGGCTCTCAGGTGGGCCGTGTGACACTCAGGTGGGCTGTGCTGCTCTCAGGTGGGCTGTACGCCTCTCAGGTGGGCTGTGCTGCTCTCAGGTGGGCTGTACGACCCTATGGTGGGCTGTGCAACTCTCAGGTCTGTCAGGGCTATGGTGCCTCACCAATGGTCCACAGGCAGGCAGCACGGCGTCAGGGAGCCTGGAGAAGGAGGAGCAATCACAGATGGGGTTGCCGAGGTCCGCGGCAAGCGCGATCTCGGGTGGCCGCATTTGCCTGATGTTCCTCTGCGCTGGGGGCGCCTGTAAACAGGCACAGGCTGCTGGCAGCTCAGAGGAAGATCCGTTTTCAGACCGATGCTGCTGCCCGAGATCACTCTTGCCGAGGACCTCGGCAGCCACATCTGTCAGAAAAGTGCCGGTGTTGGCACTGAGTGTTTTGTGTCCAGGTGGCCGCTGGCTGGACACCCGCACACAAGATTCCAAAACCAGACTGTCCGGGTGAAAACCGGATGGGTGGCAAGGCAACCCTAGTTACAATGGATTCCCCCTTCATCAGGGCACTTTTGGGGCCACACAGGGTCCCTTCACCGGGCTTAGTCAATGCTAAGACTGATGAAGGGAACCTGTGTGGCCCCGAAAGCGCTTGTTTATATGGCAAGGAACTTCAATAAATGAACATGTGTTTATCCTAAGAAGGATTTTGGTGTGCTGGTGACATCTCTACACAATTGCTGATACAAGGCATTTTTCGGTAAGGAGTGCGACAAGGAAAAGTATATATTAGCTGTGAAAGCAAGTAACCGGGGTATACCTTAAATCTCCTATCTATGAGCACCTGAAAGCTGACACTTTGCAATCTGATTGTACAACCTCCTATAGGTCTACTATCAACTATGGAGTGGAAGGACCCGCCTGATTGGATACAGATTAGATGGATTGTTTACATGGGCCCTCACATATATTTGGAAAATCTAAAGGTGATTGTATAGAGATTGAAAAATGAGATCGTAAGGTATACGGTCAATATTATGGTGTATTTTCCTCCCCTCTAAATACCACCCATTAAATTGTATGTAAACCCCAACAATGAACTTCTCTTATTTGCTCCCTTTTGGTCTTCTTAATATACCATTGAAAGTGTTTTGTTATATGTGTTCGATAAGTGCAAAATATACTTGTTGATTCGGCCAGAAATATTGTGACCTGATAGCGTCTAGTGCTCTCTGCCTGTGCACAAGGAGGGGCCACGGACATGAGGAGGGGTCATGGAGATGAGGAGGGGAGAGGAGATAAGAAGGGAGTATAGAGATAAGGAGAGGAAAGAGATAAGAAGGGACTATGGAAAAGAGGAGGGGTTATGGTGATGAGGAAACGGTGAAGATGAGGAAGGGCTAGAGAGATGCAGAGGGTGAGGAGATGAGGAAGGGCTATGGAGATGCAGAGGGTGAGGAGATGAGGAAAGGCAATGGAGATGAGGAAGGGGAGGAGATAAGAAGGGACTACGGAGATGAGGAGGAGATAAGGAGAGGTTACGGAGATGAGGACGGTTATGGAGATGAGGAGGTGGAGGAGATAAGAAGGGACTACGGAGATGAGGAGGAGATAAGGAGAGGTTATGGAGATGAGGAAGGGGAGGAGATAAGAAGGGACTACGGAGATGAGGAGGAGATAAGTAGAGGTTATGGAGATGAGGACGGTTATGGAGATGAGGAAGTGGAGGAGATAAGAAGGGACTACGGAGATGAGGAGGAGATAAGGAAAGGGTTATGGAGATGAGGACGGTTATGGAGATGAGGAAGGGGAGGAGATAAGAAAGCACTACAGAGATGAGGAGGAGATAAGGAGAGGTTATGGAGATGAGAGGGGGAGGAGATGAGGAGTGGTTATGGAGATGGGGGGGGGGGGGGGGAGATAAAAAGGGACTATGGAGATCAGAAGGGGAGGAGATAAGGAGGGGTTATAGAGAGGAGGAGGGAGGGAGGAGATGAGGAGTGGCCTGTGTTCTTTGTAATCCATCAGAAATGAAGTAGTCAGGGCTGACACCACATGCTTAGGGGCTGACACCACATGCTTAGAAACCCAGAGCTGTGTTATTATTTCAAGAAAAGGGTTGGAGCACAAATATATTTCTGGCACATCAGCAGGTATTTTTATGTACTTATGGTTTGTTTAAAAGGATAAAACACAGGGATTTTTTGCTTAAATTTTTTCTTGACTCACACTTTAAGGGGCTGATTCATAAAGGACGGACCCCTCTGGGAAAACGCAGTTCACATGGCAATACTGCCACGAGATGGAACTGGGGAGCACAGGAATTGATATGCTCACTGGCTCCTTCTATTGGCAGTAACGCCATGTAATTGGTGGCCACCCAGCTACATGCTGGGCAAACCCTTTATAAATGAATTTAAATGAACCCCCTAAGCCTTCAGTACAATATATATATATATCTCACATATACAAATATAAATATATATTTTTTATTTTTTTCAAATATCAGTAATTTGTTTTCTAATAATTATGTGTAAAACTAACACAAGTGACAATGCCCTCTTAAACTACATCTAAAACCCCACTGTTTTTTTTTACATTTTGGATAAAGTAGAGAATGATTAAAATCCCTGCCAGGGATTTTTTTTTTGCCATTTGTCTCCCATCCAAATCATTTCCGTTCACTCCCTACACTGTGAACACAACAGGAAGCGAGAAGTGAGAGGGAATCCCCTTCTTAGAGGCTGTCGCCAAAACACAGGTGTCCTCTTTAGACGATCTTCCCCTCTTTTTGTTTTCTGGAGACAATTGAAATATTTGGCTTTCCCCCTTTCTTTCAGTCCTGGTGATAATGGTCCCCAGGACAGGTTAGAAAGAGTGAATCTCACTAATGGGGACAAAGACAGCGATAAGAACCTGACAAGAAAAGATTTTGCCTTGAGATTCACTTCTACGGTTGTTGATAAAAACAAAACTGGTATTACGAAATAGCTCTGCACAGCGAATGGGGAAGGGCGGACATAATGCAGTTTGTTATTCCTCTGATTTCCCAGCTATAGACCTTTGTGAGGCCGGCAATTGTTGTTTTTAAAGACGCAACATATTTATCAGCTCTTCCTTCTTCTTCTCACCGGACTACAAGAAGAAACTTGCAGTTTTGTCATTTTGCAATATAATTTCTCTGCATTTCTGTGATCAGATGGGAGACGCCCAATGACCTTTGAGCCCTGCGTTCTTCCGGTTATTGCGTCATTTCCGCGCGCTCTCTTTCTTTCTTTTTTCCGCGCCAAGGCAGAGAGGACGCATGCATTGCACATAGGAATACACACACTATCCGCCTTGAGACAATAGACGTAAGGGTGTTGGTAGCACATTGCACAGCGCGGTTTTTTGCCTGGCAGCCTGTAGTGCGTGCAGTGATTACCTGTACTGATTCACCTGTCTGAATTGCTGACCGCTCACATATTTGCTGCGTGAACTTTAACTCAGAGGAGAGTTAAGAGAAGAGAAGAAGAAATCAGGTTGGGGAGAGCAAAAGAGAAGGGAGAGGAAAAGAAAGGGGAGAAGAGATAGGAGTGGTGAAAGGGGAGAGGAGAGCAGAGTGGAGAGGTGAAAGGGGAGAGAAGAGCAGAAAGGAAAGGTGAAATGGGATATGAGAACAGAGAGAAGAGAGCAGAGAAGAGAGGTGAAAATGGAGAAGAGAGGAGAGCAGAGTGGAGAGGTGAAATGGGAGAGAAGAGCAGAGAGGAGTGGTGAAAGGGGAGAAGAGAGCAGAGAGGAGTGGTGAAAGGGGAGAGAAGAGCAGAGAGGAGAAGTGAAAGGGGAGAGGAGTGCAGAGAGGAGAGGTGAAAGGGGAGAGGAGTGCAGAGAGGAGAGGTGAAAGGGGTGAGAAGAGCAGAGAGGAGAGGTGAAAGGGGAGAGGAGAGCAGAGAGGAGTGGGGAAAGGGGAGAGAGGAGCAGAGAGGAGAGGAGAGGTGAAAGGGGAGAGGAGAGGTGA